CCAACTTAATGCTCTATGAAGTCATGTTCATTTCACTTTTACATTTACCAACAATTATCGTATGAATGAAAGTAAGTATTGGTATTTTGAGTTAAAAACAATATTACAGTAATTGAGGATGTTCATACTAGACTTTTATGTCTTGGATTGAATAAGTCGGGTATTTTACGGGCTTGGTAAACCAGAATTCACAAAAGCTCGTTCCCCACGTATATGTATGTTTAACTGTACGACTTCGTTAAAGACGAAACTGACACCAATTAGTCACAAAGATCATCTAAATCCACATCAAACGAAATAAAAAATGACCATACTGACCTTTTGGTAAAGTTAGACGATAATTCCCCTGTTTTTACGCGTGGACTACACGATACCAGGTCCCACAAGCAATAAACAGTGTTAGATGTTACCGCGTCGCTATGTCTAATGTACAACTACAGACAGGTATATCTACTTCCCAACCGAACCCATTGCCTCTGTGTGGATTCCATGATTTATTAATGCGTTGCTAAGCGGTTCCAATAAAAACGACATAATCAATGAAATTATATCGATTATTCTATACGATTGATGCCGTTGACGTTTTCGGTTGGGTGATTTTACAGGTGTATCCAGGTGATGTGTAGATATGTATGTTTTATATATATATACCTCATGAACAACACAGGTAGAAACTTGGTTATGGGTCATAAAAATTATTGATTTTGAAAGGCAATTTAATTATCAGGAGTTATTTCGATGCGATATTTGATGTAGTTACTACGGCATTTCATCCATGGAGATGTGATCAAACCGAACGCGATCTCTATGTTAAGGTAGCCCGCGGGCTTAGCAACGACTTTGTGCCGGCGATATTTAATTGGCGTTATGTCCCCTTGGAATTATCTACCCAGAATCAATGGGTGGTTTATGGGGCATTGTTTTCCCCTCTGTGTATAACTAAGATGTATCTCGTTTCCTTCTACAATAGAATACGCTAAATCGTGACGATCAATCCACAGGCACTTGCTGCCTCCGAACACAGGGACATGATAATTATTACACTTCACGACTTTGTTTGAACATAAAATTAGTTAGAACATATCAACTGAGTTGTTCAGAGTAAAATAAGACGCTTTAGGGGTTTTGATCGACTCTCGTTAACACCCCCCCCCCCCCCCCCCAAAAAAAACCCCAATGATAGATAGTACATGTTCATACTTTTATTAGACATAGAATGTGTAACAACACCCTGAACACCAAACATAGCTATATATACTGTAAAAAATCCCCCCCACCCCCAAAACCCCAATGATAGATAGTGCATGTTCATACTTTTATTAGACTAGAATGTGTAACAACACCCTGAACACCAAACATAGCTATATATACTGTAAAAAATCCTCAGGTCCCTGTGCTACCGAATTGTTTCTGTACCCTGGGCGTTATTACAAGTCTATCAACGGCTCATTTTGATATGTGGGAGAAGTATTACAAAACGGTTTTTTTCATAAGATACGTCAGGAGCAAAGACCAGATTTGAGGTCCGAGACTTCCTGTAGACAGAACCAACGAGCAATGGTATTTTCACCTCTGATACATTTGTCATGCTGTTTAATATGAGAAGGGGAAAATGAAGCGGCTCTGAGCATGTTCGATAAAAAGTGACCAGCTGCGCTGTATTTCGGGTGGCTGAGCATTACGTGTAAGAGTTGGAGGGTCCAGAATTGATATATCACGGTCTATTGAATGTAATCTCCATTAAGAGAATGCAACAATCCTATTAAAGAAATCATCTAAAGGAGAGGAAAGCGACTCGAACCTGGAAAGCAAAACATACACATCTGGAAGCTGGATGGGATTTTAACCCTCACTGTTTAGTGGATGCCTGTCTGTTTGGTGTCGTTTGCAAATATCCATTTACAGAATAGAGGTATAAACTTACGAGGTGTCCCACCCATTTTCCCCATCCGACAATGCTCATCAAAATGTCTACTCAAAACAAATGCACTCACTACGATGCCGCCAAGTACTTTTTAGAGTGCACCACGTAAAATGAACACTATATATTCTACAGAATATAGATATGATTAAGAATTTCGTTGTCAAATTATCGATAAACAGAGACAGCACTTACCACGGTCGTGCCAACAGCTGGGACTTGCATCAGTAGCACATGGAAACAGAGAATGACGTCAAGATATTGTGACGTCACAGTAACCTTTGTCAACAATCAACATCCCATGCAATTTTCATATCGAGGTTTCGCCTACACCCGTTTCCGGTATATTTAATGAGTAACTGTTTCCCGGGCCCGTATTTACGAAATCGTTCTCGTGCTCTAAGTCAGAATTTGTGCTCAAGCCCTATTTCTTATTCCAGTGAAAAATTGCATTTTGTCAATGATTTGGAGTCTTATGGCTGAATATAATTTTCGATGTTTAAACTTAACTTTTTGGCCGCGTAACATGCTTTTAAGCCAGTTGCAAGAAAGTAGGTTTGAGCACAGAACCCATGCTTGAGCACGAGAATGGTCTCATGAACATGGGTCCTGGGGTCTAAACAATACGTTGGAATCCTAAGAAGCTTTTGTGACCAGTGGTTTTCCCCATAGACAGAGCATTGATAAGTTTGGGAAAACTGGAGTCATAAACTAACTCGACAGCAGCAAACGCCATATGATAGCGACGTCTCAAAATGATTGCAGTTTTGGACGAAGTTGCAATGACATATCCGGCATTCATTCTTCTGAAACAAATGTCACACCAGAAGCGTCAAGGAAATGCCATCAAAGAGGGGGAAAATATCAACAAGTCTAATTTTCTCTCTTTGATGTCGTCAAGAAGACAACAAAAAGAGAAGATGGCACTGTCATCGATATCCTCCGCTCACAGTGCACAATATAGGTCAAAATCAGCATCTGCAATATGCATTCAGTAGAGCAACCCTAGATACTCATTTGATGCAAGCATAATCAACATAGCACTGAAATAGATTAGAGCAATTTCTTAACCAGGTGCATGGACGGACGCACGCACGGACCCAATTTCTATACATCCCCCGCCAACTCGTTGTTAATAGCGCCATACTTATCTCTCTCCGTCTGCAGTCATGGCGGTACGTATTCTCCATTCGGGGAGCCTGAAGTTGGTTCCTAGTTTAAGATAAACGGAACTGGAAACCAGACCCTAGTTCCGGTTAAGATAAACGGAACTGGGAACCAGACCCTAATATCGTTTAAGAAAAACGGAACTGGGAACCAGATCCTAGTTACGTAAAAACTGAAATAACACCATCAATGGAACTTGGACCAAAATACGAGTTCTGTTTCAGAAAAAACCCCAGCATAACCAGCCTCTAATAATCCACTGGGAACTCCAGTTACGTTTTCTCTTAAACGGAACTGGGAGCCAGGTATACTAAGGCCCATGGTTATATCTGAATCCAGTACAGGAATCGAACCCACAACCTTTCGGACAAAAATTAAAACTACGGAACTGAACTCCAAACAGGAGGAACGTTTTCTCTCTCTCTTAAACGAAACTGGGAACCAGACCCCAGTTCCGTAAAGTAAACGTATACGTGTTTTGTTATTCTTTCCCTGTCTACACGGCGCATAGTTATAAGTGAATCCAGTACAGGAATCGAACCCAAAAACTTTCAGACAAAAATTAAGATTATCAAAGCCTCTATAAAGGAATTGGTCTTATACGAAACTGAACTCCAAACTGCAGTTACGTTTTCTCTTAGATATTGTGAAACATAACATGAAGGACCGGAGAGCAGGATACATACGATTATCTATAGTGTGGTACTGTAAGAGAGCAGGACACATACGGGTATCTATAGTGTGGGTACTGTAAGAGAGCAGGACACATACGATTATCTATAGTGTGGCACTGTAAGAGAGCAGGACACATACGGGTATCTATAGTGTGGGTACTGTAAGAGACCAGGACACATACGATTATCTATAGTGTGGGTACCGTAAGAGAGCAGGACACATACGATTATCTATAGTTTGGTACTGTAAGAGAGCAGGACACATACGATTATCTATAGTGTGGTACTGTAAGAGAGCAGGACACATAGATTATCTTTAGTGTGGTACTGTAAGAGAGCAGGACACATACGATTATCTATAGTTTGGTACTGTAAGACAGCAGGACACCTACGATTATCTATAGTGTGGTACTGTAAGAGAGCAGGACACATACGATTATCTATAGTGTGGTACTGTAAGAGAAGTTATTTAAGTGGACACACTAATTTTAGCGCACTATTAAATTTTAACAGATTAGCGCATTGATGCATCGGCGCACTCACAATAAATGGGATAGAAAACTATATACAGAATTTTTAATTAGAGCAGTCGTAAATTAGCCCTGTGTTTAGACGCAAAAAAGCTACAAAATCGTTATAACACTTATTTATATTTAAATGAAGTCATAATTGGAAGGGGGGAAAAAGAGTGTAAAATCGGAATTTTTGTTTTCGACTTTGAAAATAAAGCATATTTTTTCTGTGTTTAAGTTGCATGTACTTTCCTTGACAAGTTGTTCGTCTTATGCATTTTTTTCTTTCCCTCTTGTTTGTAAATTGTCAGTTTATCAAATACTTAAATTCCAAATATCTGTTACTCCGAGAAGTTCATTACAGGATGTGTTTTGTATGAAATGAAAATATGTTTGTAGAAAATGACATATTTCATGACACTTCCAGTGCTGAAATATATATTTCAACTTCATTTCACGTAATATATACCACCTTCTTCTCTCCCAAACACAATGTTCATACGTGGCAATGGATCCTTTGCTTGTTTTCCATATTGTTAGCTGAAAAATCACTGAGATACAATAACAATCTGATTCATGTGTTAAACTACATCCCGAGTAGCCAGGTACACGTGTCTGCGCTCACGTGTCAAGTGCTGTAGTCCTACATCTATATACATTTGAGGACCAGAATAGGCTAATTACTGTAATTGGGGTTGAGTCTGAGAGCCACAGGATGTCGCTACACTGGCACAAGTGTTTGGACAAGTATTAGTGCACCATTCTCATACCGCCAAATCTTTTCTCTGGTCCCTGGACGCTCACAGCGGGTAATTGTCACCGCCGGGTCGGTCATATACCCAAAACAGGGCACAGACACGGGGACAGCCATCGTCTTTGACCCTTTCCAACGCTGACCATTCCATACCAGTGGTCACTATATGGTGTTTTGCCCTACGTGACATCAACCTCAAAGGATTATGGCCAATTTATGAATACGTTTGACTTGCAGTGAACGGATTACCACACGATGTCAAAAGGCATTCGAGGTCAAAGAGTAACCAAAGGTCATTGAACCTCTACATCCGGTCATTGGATATTTGAAGTCTGTGTCCAAGTTTCCAGTTAATTCCAACTTAGAAAAACAGCCACAGGAAAGAGTCACTCAATACACAGCCATGCACGGTCAGTGTCCTCAATGGCGTTTACTTGTGGTCGCCTTGATGATGACAAGTGCGGTCAGTGTACTTGCCGCGAAAACTAAGAAGTGTCCGAGTGCTTTCTGTGCATGTACCGGAAAGAGTGTCGACTGTTCCAATCATAACAGTCTCCAAATTCCGGACGGTATTCCAGACGGAACAAAAGTTCTCAGTTTGGCGGGAAATAAACTGCTAACGGTGGACAATGCCAAACTTCGGCGTTTAAAAAAATTACGGTCGCTTGACCTTAGTAACAACAACATAGAGGAAATACAACGAGATGCATTTTCTGGTTTGAAATCTTTAAGATTTTTGCAACTTGCCGAAAACCAATTGCAACATTTACCTCATGATGTTTTTGAACTTCTTAAAGGTCTAGAAAACCTTGACCTTTCAAATAATGACCTTAAAAGCGTAGAAGGTACCTTTGTGAACATGTCAAGGATTTTACAACTGGACCTATCGAACAATCATATTACACATCTAACAGCTCGTTCTTTCAAAGGTTTGAGTAATTTACAGTACCTAAATCTGGAGAGCAATAATATCTCCAGAATTGACGTGCTGGCTTTCTGGGATATGACGTCATTGCGCCAACTGGTACTACGCAACAACTTCCTGCAGCAGGCAGACGGTCTGTTCGTTGAAAACCCCGATTTACAATCGCTTGACCTGGCGAATACTCATCTTCAATCCTTCCCACAAGTGTTACCACTGCATATAGAGGTTCTTCATTTGGACCAGAATAACATCTCTACAATACGTCGGGGCGATACGATTGGCTACATCAGACTTAGGACTCTGATGTTGTATGAAAATTCGCTGACACTTATTGAAGACGACTGTTTCGCGAACATGCAAGATCTACAGGAACTGTGGCTCAATATGAATAATCTGAAGGAAATCCCTGTAGGCTTGCCTGCTAGTCTACATCATTTAAGCCTAGACAATAATAAAGTGAGTGTTATAAATAGTAACGATTTTCCCGCCAATTCCAATTTGCAGATTTTGTCTCTCCAATCCAACGCTATCACACGTCTTGAAAAGGGCGTTTTTCGGAACGTCGCATCATTGAATGAACTTTTTCTTGGAGGAAATAGCTTCAGTGTGTTTGCCAACAATGTTTTTTCGCCTTTAAGTAATTTACAAAATTTGAACCTGCTTAGATTTGACCTTGACCTTATAGAAGAGAATGCGTTCAATGGTTTGTCTAATTTGAAATCGCTTGACCTTTCTTATATTCTTATGAAATCGCCAAGTGGAATTCAAGGTAATATTTTCAAATGGCTACCAAATCTAACCACGTTGGCGCTTCAGGAGAGTCCATATATTGCGTCTAAATTGATTTCCTCGCGAGAAATGCTGTCCAGCATTAGCTCCGTGCAAGACCTGAACTTAATGGATAACACCATAACGAGTCTAAGTCTTACTTTACTCAGCAGTCTTAAACAGCTCAAGTCTATAAAGCTTCCGGGAAACCCGTTCCATTGCGACAGTCTATTGCGCTGGTTACAGGATTTCATCAAGTTGGAGAGAACCAAGTTTTTTATGCCTTACGATATATTGTGTCATACCCCAATTGAGTTACGTGGTCAGCCTCTTGTAGATGTCCAGTATTCGGACTTCGTCCCCGCTACCACTACCACACTATTGCCAAAGACAACCACACTGGACAGAAACGTTGATGACCAATCAAATAAAACCATACCAATAGAACAGTCCAATTACACCTCACATCCTCAAATGACTTCTATAGCCCCAGTCGTCAACACAACGGTTGCTAATGTTACCATAATAACTAGTGCTCACAAAGGAAATGACGACAATGACCAACCGGAAGAAGAAAATTTTATGATGATTACCGTAGCTACGAGTATTTCGACTGCTGCAATCATCATTGTAGTTGCCGTGGTGATTATAGTCATATTTCATCGCCGGAGATTTATACAACGCGATTTTGAATACTGTCGAGAAAATGAGGTGGAATTTTACGTGTCTGACGGGAGTGATCGTCCCCCGGTCAAACTGACCCGTGAGGAGAGGCAGTCACGTGGCTCTGTGACGTCAAAAGCAGAGGAAGATATTACCAACGAACTGGATCTCAGTATGAGGGTGTACACTTGGGATGATGGTGAACAATAATCTCATTCTATTGTCTATGCGCATAACAATAACCGTTGACCTTCTATTTTAATAAGAAATTATCGGGATGGGCAGCTTTGATTCTCTTTGTAGATATTTCGTTGACTACATTGTCTCCTGAGACCTGGTGATACTTAACATAATTCCACTGAACTCTATTGATATATGAATCTTAAAATCTGACCTCTGCTGATATACCTTGAACTATGACCTTTGGCATCTTCTTATTTGTGTGTACTTACCTCTGTTACATGTATAATGCACAAAAATAAAACAGACTGAATGACTGACTGTTCATCTGTACAACTTGTCCTACATGGCATATTGACCTCTGACCTTAGATGTTGTTTACACCTTGAACGGCCAATGACGACCTCTATTTAACATTGACCTCTGATCCCTTGAACAGCTATCAGTTACCATAAAGCGCATATTTGCATTTACTTTGGGCCTCAGACGGAGGTTAACTCGAGCTCCATGTTCAGCAAAACATGACATCTATTTACATATTTAATGTTGACCTCTGACCTCCAATAGAAATTAACAATTTTGACAGTCAATACTGACCTCTGTATACAAGTACATATTTGCATTAACCTTTGACCTTAGAAGTTAACACATTGGACAGCCAGCAATGACATGTGGATACATATGTTTAACACATTGGACAGCCAGCAATGACATGTGGATACATATGTTTAACATTGACCTCTGACCCTAGAGAATGTTACCAGTTTGGTCAGCCAGCAATGACCCATGTATAAATATTTTTAACATTGACCTCTGACCCTAGAGGAGGTTACCACTTTGGTCAGCCAGCAATGACCCATGGATACATATTTTTAACATTGACACCTGACCTCGGTGGAAGTTACCACTTTGGTTGGCTGGCTATTGCCCAGTATACATATTTCAGACCTCTCGTGTTTGATGGTGTTATAACTTACCTCTGGTACATACTAACAATGACGTCTGACCTCATATAGAGGCTACCATCTTGAACATATATTGACCTCTGTATTCACATTTTGAATTGATATCTGACCTCGGATGAGGTTATTATCACAAGACGCTCATTACTGACCTTTGCACATAATCCTATATCAACCTCTAACTTTGGTACAAAAATCTATATTTAGACTGATCTTGACCTTTATATCATACCCACCATACAGTGATATTTTCTTTGGACTCTGACCTCAGTCATTCATGAAAGGAAGAAAAATCAAATTCATGAATATTTTAAAACATTGAAAATGTGTGGTATTGTATTGGTTTTCAATGTAATGTATAAAATGGAAATACATATATTACTTTTTAAAGACTTGATATCTTAAGTGAACTCTCTGAAGGGTGAACTAGTTTAAATTACAGTGAAGACCTTTCTTTGAAGTTCAAATCACAGAATTGTACAGTGTTAATAATAATGTTATTTCTGAGTCTGACAAATGAACCACATTCACATAACCAACCTTGATCAAAAGAATGTTTGTTGTTACTTAAAGTACAACACACCAAGTGTACTGTCTAAACATGTATAATAGTACTGTTATCAAGTACATTACAGGAATAATAATACTGTTATCAAGTATATTTATAGTGTACCTGCATGTATGTGCCCATTCAAGCTTTTGTGAGCAAGAGGCACATGGGGTCTGTGTCACTCATCATTTTTTCAATTTAATATTCAATGTAATCTTATATAAATCTTTGAGCTGATGGCATAGCCTCTTTTGTCATTTTTTGGGGTCAGGATTTGAATATCCTTTGTTAAAAGGTACTTGGCTGGATAAACAATAATACATGCTGAATATGTAAATAAGCTAGCTGTCAAGAGTGTCTGTATATATATATATATATATATATATGTGTATATTTGCATTCCTAAACACATTTTATTTTTACTTTTTATGAACAGATTGAATTCTTGTTAGAAATACATTTAATTTGTAACTTAAAGAATATCTATTACATTATCATTATTAAAATATAATAACACAAATAAATTAAATGTTCCTATTGTTCTAAGTGTTGTTTTCTTAGCCAGTTACATGTATATATATGTACATCTGTATCAAGAGGAAGTTTTATGAAATTAAAACCATTCCTTTAAAAGTTCTCCCACAGAAACAACTCAGGTGCTGAAATCTGATATTTCCACTGGTACATGTAGCCCCTTTAATTTGTATAAACTCTTACAATAAAAATGTAGTAGAAAGATCAAGTAGAGAATATACTTCAAATGTCAACAAAAATGTTAATAGGAACAAAACACTGATTTATTTAAATAATTTCAGTATATTACAAAATATGCAAGTCATAGAAAGTATATTTTGTTATTTCTTTTTCACATCTGTATATTTCTTTCAAGCCACTTGTCTCTGATTACAAAATATAAAGAGTTATACATGTTCACATTCCAGTATTAATGTATATATGTTACTGATGATAAGCCCATGCTCACAAAGAAACCCACTCATTTGTTTAAACATGTTTTTAACAAATTAGGTACTTTTCTTGAAGTGTTATGATGGGTAAACCGTTTCTGTGTAAAAACGAGTCATTCCAATTGAAATGTCTCGCCTACGCCCCTGCTTAAACCATCAATGCACCTATCGGAGAAACTAATTTAAATGCAAAAACTTAATGTTGATGGAGATGCTGACAAAGTCAATGGACCATGAAACGTAGGCCACATCCATCATTTGATACATGGGTTGAGATGTACTACCCAAGGCGATGCATCTACAGTCCAAGTTTGGTTGGTCTAGCACTTATACTTTCAGTGAAGCTAACTTAAACGCAAAAACTTATTGTTGACACTGGAAAAGTAACACCTTATTCTTGCTTCCAATTCATGGCGGCGGCGAGATTAAAACTCTTCCAGATAAGTACATATTTAACTCTGCTTGTTAGGAAAAAGTTCCGTGGGCTTATCGAAGCTAAAATACACCGGCAGTAACAAACACATAGCGATTCCATGACTTGTTACTCATGTCTATCATGTATATCTAACTGAATTGATTTTATTTTAAAAAAAAAACCAAGACTTATATCGAGTTGTTCTTTTGAAACTTAAAAATTAATTAACAAGAGTTAGACATTCTAACAATGACATTGTCAATTCACTGACAATGTTGCTTTACATATGACGATTCAGGCACGTAGGAATTTTTATTTGGGGTGATAAATTCACAAAATTTACAAAATTTATATAGCTATGCATATATGCTTTATATCAGAATTTCATTATTATTCAAATTTTAAATTATTTTTGAATTTTGATGCAGACCAGTTGTAAAATTTAAGCATCCATTAATGTACTACATTGCAGATGAATATCTAAAATGAAAGAGGAAAAAGACGCTAATCTTCAAACAACCATCTCCTCATTGTTCAGGATTTTGACCAATAAAAAAAACCCAGAAAAAAAATAATCAATAGATTTATTAATACTTAATATGTTTACCCAAAAATCTCTGTCATATAATGGACGAGTTTAACCTTTTCACCCCTATGTCATTATTTAGACTCAACCATACATTGATATGGATGAGTCCATTATTGTCTACAGCAGTGAAAGGGTTAAGTAGTAGAAATTATACTTACCGAAAGCTTAGTTCGTAAAACAAATTGTGACTTGCAAATCGCAAACTTTTTGTCAAAAGTGTTGACAGCTGAATTACAAAGATATAGATATAGTCATGGAATCACAAATTGTATATATATAAATGGGTTAACCAGATATATACTAGAACCAGAATTAAAACTTGCATGGAGCAAAATAAAAACCATTCCACTGCTAAGAGTATGGAATGAAAGTTCTTAATAGTTTACTTTTAAATCACTAAATTTTCACGAATATAATTATGTACCGATTTTTATGATCATTCTCCAACCATCATAGTTAGAAGAATTGGAATATGTAAAAGAAACACAGAAAGATCTGTGACATTTAATTGTTAGAATAAAGTCTTTGATTATGATTTCCTTGCAAATTAATGCAAAAATAAACATTTGAGAAGATCTAAGTGAGCTTTTGTTAATGCATGTAATAACTTGACTGTGTGCTGTTTATCTCATTCCAAATTTACTTACAAGTATCACCTGTTCCAGACCTTGGTGAAATCATTTAAGCATAGATGATAACATTTCAAAGAAACCATCACCCATTGAATTAATAAATTAAAGTGAAATTACATATGTCTTATATGGGCAATCCCCATACCAAACCATATATGTACATAAAAAGATCAAATGACTACCAACCATTTTATTTCTAAAGTACTCTAAACTATGAAGGAACATCTAAGTAAAATTGAACCTCTCCTTAATGTTTGTATAATATGATTGTCAAAATGACCATTATTAAAAGAGAAAAAAACACTATTGTACATTTTAATGCATATACAGATGCATTGTCAGATTAAAACCAATGAAACCTATATTATTGTAACCTGTTTTATCTGAACCCATATTATTCTGACAACCTACATAATTCCACATAATACTGTAATCCAATTTCTCATGAGCAACCAAACATGAAATGTGTATTCTGACGTTCTATCTGATATGACCAATGAACCGTGTCCCACGGGGCAAGAGAAATATTGGCATTATTAAGAGGTTTGGCGATAAATTGAAGGAAATGTACAAAAACAAGAAGCCCATGGGCCTTAACGGTCACCTGATATATTTTACAGAGAGTTGTTTTTGTTTTTAACATGAACAGAAATATTATTCAAAGTGACAAAAAACAATAAAACCGCCTTATTCAATATTTAGCATACAGATTTAAGACTAAAAAGTATTTGAAACTAGCACTTCTGATTCTAAACAAGGAAAATGAAGAAATTTTAGCACACTGACTCCTTTGGACCCCACCCTACTGCCCTTGGGGGTAGGGTTGGCTCAAAATTTTCAAAGTATCAAACTGTCAACTCAGGGTTATAATTCCAATGTAATACAGTATTCAATGTATCATTTGCCATTATAAACCAAAATAAATTTTGCCCCCCCCCCCCCCCCCCATTCTTCCCCAGGGGGTAAACGTGCTAATGCTAACCCAAATTGAATTACTTCCAATGGAAATTAAACAAATGTTGGTCCAAAATGTGATTTCCCTATATAAACTATAGTTAAGTTTACCCCCTCCCCAGGGGTAAGCGTGAGACTCCAGGGTCATGAAATTCACAATTTTGGTAAAGCACCTTAAAGACCCTGCCATCTATGAAGAGTGTTTGATTCTATCATATCTGGGTCTTAAGAAGAAGAATTTTGAAATTTTAGTCAATTCAACCCTTTTCGGCCTCACCCATCAGCCCCTGGGGGTCAGTCAGGGCTCATATGTGCATACTATCAAACTGCTACCTAATACTGATAATGCTAACCCAAATTGAATTACTTCCAATGGAAATTAAACAAATGTTGGTCCAAAATGTGATTTCCCTATATAAACTATAGTAAAGTTTACCCCCTCCCCAGGGG